CTCTCAATTAGTCGAAGACTTTAGTGAAGGTTTCATATTTCTACAGTTAACGGTTTCGAAGGAGTAGCGATAACAAGCATTTCTTGCGAAAGGGGCAATAACTTTGAAAGCGGTCATAGTTCATACGCGTTGGGTCAAATTTGTTCATAACTTTTAATGACCTTTACGATGAACAAAAAGTCTTTTCGATAAATGTCCAAATAAAAAATCAGCGGAAGAAGAATAATAATAAGAAACAGAAGAAAATCAATAGGTCTTTCCACAGAAAGGTGGAAAGACCTAATAATAATAAGAAACAGAGTAAAAACAATATGTTCCCCAACTTCGTTTGGGGAACATAATAATAATAATAAGAAACAGAGTAAAAACAATATGTTCCCCAACTTCGTTTGGGGAACATAATAAGAAACAGAGTAAAAACAATATGTTCCCCAACTTCGTTTGGGGAACATAATTACCTTGCAATTTATGCTTTCTAATGTTCTCCAATTCTTGCTTTTTACTATATAATTCATCAATATTACTTTCAACATTTTCTTCTAATAGTTTGATACTTTCTATTAAAATTTTCTCTTTGTTTTCTCTTTTCTTTTTGATATATGATGCATATGAAATAGTTTTACCTCTTATCTCTAAAAGCAGAGTTTCTAAAAATAGCTGATCATTAACAGTGAAATAAAAATTGGAATCTGGAATATTATCTATGTTGTCAAAGTTATATACTGGGATTGCATACTGTTTCTTAACCTCTAAAATTACATTTTTAATGCAATCTAAGTAATTTTCATCATGAAGTAGAGAGTTATTAAACTTCCATAACCCCCTACCTTTCTTAAATTCATTAAAAGCTATAGACAAGGATATTATGGAATGGTCTGATCTATAACTAGTATCTATAGAGCATTTTTCCAATCCTGACAAAAGGGTTTCAGATATTAAAAAAAAATCTAAACGGCTTTGCTTCAATGGAGTTTTTCTTCTCCAAGAATATCGACGCTCTTTTTCGTGAAGCTGTCTGAAAGGGTCAATATAACAATTATTTTCTATTATTTCCAAAACTTTTTCTCTTGCCTTTGGATTATTGACAGATTTATAATTATAATAGTCCAAATCTGGATTCAAAACTTAATTGAAATCTCCACACAAAATAATATTTCTACATTGCATATCATCAATATATTTTTGTAAATTTTCAAAGAAAAGTGGTGTATCATTATTTGGACCATAAATGTTACATATCAATACCTCATGGCCCTCTACAGATGCTTTAAGTAAAATAAAGTTTCCTTCAAGGTCGCCCTTTTCTGTTAGAGGTTTAAAATCAAAGTTGTTGTTAACTAGAATTGCCACTCCCCTAGAGTTTGTAGAGTATGAGCTGAAAAAGCATTGGTAACCCCATAAATTTCTTACTTCGTTTTCAATATCACACGAAAAATGTGTATCTTGCAAACAGTAAATGTTATAATTTAAGGCTCTTAAGTAATTAAAAACATCCTTGCGCTTTGCAATATCACCTAAACCTTGACAGTTTACTGAAATAATCTTAACCATTTGAAAAACGTTTACAAGTTGATACCCACCGGACCAATGGACACGAACAGTCGGAACTCATGATGAAAGAAAGAGAGGAAGAAAGAGGAAAGTAAGAGCTACAATATAACAATAACAGAAAAATTAACTTATTGCATTTAAAAAAAGTTCAAATGTTAACCAAGCTGACTACCGTGATAGGTGTGTTGTGAGTCACAGTTTGGGATTTTATTTTGTAACGCAAGTTATGACCGGAAACGCATTCTGCTAGCTAATGGCGGAGAGAATATGGTAAGAGTTTTTAATCCCGGCTTTTTTTAATATTCTTTACCTTATGGTCAATATCGTCCAGGATGTCGAATTTCACACGTTTGTCCTTCACTTTTGCGTATACAGATCCGTTAAAATACCAAGCAGATGTAATGCCTTCATTATCTAACAATCGTGCGATCAGTTCACTATTTTCCTTCGTGACATCGTCCCCCAGTCGAACATTTCCAGGAGCATCTTTGACCTCCGATCGATGCCGCATGATGTGCGCCTTTTTGTCGTTGTTCTTCATTTTTATTAGAATAGGCCTTGGAGAATTGGTTTTTGATCCTGGGATCCGATGTACTGCCACTATAGCATTTTCATCAATTTCAACTCCCCCCTTCTCCATTAATGTGGATTTGACAACCTCAATGATGTCCTCATCTTTGGTCTCTTTAACACCGTAGATTTTGAAGTTATTTTTTCGACTATACTGTTCATTGTAATTTGACTTTACTGTGGCAAACTGTGCTAAATCTCTCACCTCATTCAGTTCCTTTTCCAGATTTCTTGTGTTTTTATTTGCTTCACACACTTTTTCTCTCAATATCGAATATCAGCTCATCGAATGAATATTCGAATATTCGAATATTCGTTGACATCCCTACAAAAAATCCTGATGGCACTGAATATTTACAGCATTTTGAAAGACAGACCAAAATGATTTAGAGTTTAGGATGTGAATATAATAGTTCAGATTTCTAAATTTCAAAAACTCAAACTGATTTGGTATATTGAAATCTAAATATTTTAGATCAAAAATCTAAATTAATAAATTTCCAAACAGGTTTACAATCTTAGCTTAAATATTCAAAATAAAGTCAAAGTCCCCAAAACATTTTTTGTATTTAAAACTTTTGAGTTTTTAATCTACCGTTTGTTCAGAAAATTTACGCTTTACAATCTTAAGTTAAGCAACATTTTCGTCTTTTAATTATTTTAAATTTACTTCAAACTTCTAAATCTCAACTTTTAAAACGTTTTGAGTTTTTGAAATTAGGTATTTTGGTTCAAACATTCAAATTTCAAATAACCGAAACACCGAGTTTTTAGAATTTTACTTTAAATATCCAAAATATCAAATTTCCAAACCCGAGTTGAATTTTGAGTATATACTAGTTCAATATTTTAACTATCTAAAAGCTCTCCTGATTGACCAAAAGATTTTTTGTATTTATTGTTTCAAAATCCAAACAAGGTTTGGAATTTGATATTTCAAATATTTGAAGTAAAAGGCTAAAAACTCAAAACGTAAAATATGTCGTAGAATATTGAAAATTTGAGTGTTTGAATCAAAGTTCTAAATTTCTAAAAATCTATAGAACGTTTTGAAAGTTGAAATTTAGAAGTTTGAAGTAAATTTAAAGACAAAATATGTTACTGAATTTTGGATAGTTAAGCGTAAACTTTCTGAACAAACAGTAGACTAAAAACTCAAAAGTTTAAAATAAAAAATAGTTTTTGGAAATTTAAATTTTAAACATTTATGGTAAAAATGTAAAACATAAATTTTTCAAACCTGTTTGGAAATTTTATAATTTAGATATTTGAACTTAAAATATTAAATTTCAATATACCTAACCAGTATGAGTTTTTGAATTTTAGAAATTTGAACCAATATATTAACATTCTAATACACAAAAACATTTTAGAATTTTGAATTGTTAAGTGTTACACGGACCCAAAACCCGCACCGATGTAAACACGCGTGACACTAGATAAGTCTTGGACAAAATATTTTCGGTCCCTAATCTGAATGAAAACAACCTGGAAGAAGTTTACAAAAAGTACGCCAGCATGAGACCCCAGGGTTTTTCGGACCCAGATGAACCTTTCTATATAGCTACACGAACAATTCCTTTTTCTGACACACGAAGCGGTAAATGGTTTACGAAACAAAGGTTTGGGATGAATAAAATTGAAAAATTTTGAGTAATATATATGATTGAAAAGTGTCCAAAACTTTCAGAATCTGGAAAAAGACTTACAAATACCAGTACAAGAAAATACTGCGTTCAAAAACTCAGGAGGGAAAACATTGCGCCTACAGATATCATGCAAGTCACAGGTCACAAAAACGTCAATTCTATCAACAACTACTCTGAGATTACAATCCAAAAACATAGGCGTCAGAACCGGGGGGGGGGGGGGGGCTTAGCCCGCCCCCTTTTTTTGCAAATATACATGTAGACATTTTATAGGCATTAAAAATTGGGATTTACCTTTTTTTTGTTGGTTTACCCCCCCCCCCCCCACCTCCTTTCAATTTGCTTCCGACGCCCATGAAAAACAACAGGAAATGTCAGTTCTATTGTCGTCAACAAAACGTAATTCTACATCGGACATAGGCGATTCCCTTACCATAATCCAACCAGAACCTTGACCTGTGGCAGCCGCAGGAAGTATTCAACAGGCCAATTTGCAGGGGCAATACTGCACGTAAACAAAATGAATATTTACAATTACCAAAATGCCTCCCAAGACCTTGCTCCATCGCCAGCGAAGAAATCGAAATGAACTTCTATCCTGATTAATAATTATCCTAAATTCCAATTCATACTTCTGTAAATTTACTTGTTTTATCACTAATAAACACGTTCCTCGTTTAACTCCTGAATACCATGTGTTTTTTACAAATGAATTCAAATAAATTTTACAATATAAATGAAAAATATACAATGCAAATGAAAAATATACAATGCAAATGAAAAATTATACAATGCAAATGGCAAATATATAATGCAAATGAAAAATTATACAACACATATGGAAAATTATAGAATACAAATGGAAAAAAAATACAATGCAAATAAAAATTAACAATGCAAATGAAAAATTATACAATACAAATAAAAATATACAAAAGGTAAATTTTACAATACAAATGGAAAAGATCGAATATTGCAACGTTTGACTTGCCATAGTTTACAGCTTTACATTTTTATTTTTAACAATACAAATTTAAAAATAAATCTTAAGGGAAACAAATAATTTATGGCCTATGTTGAGTGATGCATTATTTTTTTTTTACAGTCAAATTGATCGATTGAAAAAACGTATTATACTATATTTTATGTCGTAAACTCTTTGAAATGGTGTTTATATACACCATTTCAACTCGTTAGATAAACCAAATATCAAATCACACATTATAGATATCCTCTATGTATTTTCTATGATATATCTTGGTTTATTGTCACATAAGTATGCGTAAAATCTGCAAATAACTAATATAATAAGTTATTGTGATGAATGAAATTTGGATTATTTTATCTTTTTATTCATAGATGCGCAAGCTAGATTTAATGGTAAGTTTCTTTTCATTACTTTTCTAAGTGATATTTTGAGTGAGAGAGAAATACGTGTATTGTCTTTGGGGGATGAGAGAGGGGCCAAAAATATTTCAGTTTAAATGTGAGAAAGCAGCATAACAAGCCTCGACAGTTAATGAGCCTTAGACTTAATTATAATCATCAATGACAACAAAATACTGGTTATTTTTTTGTTTTGTTTTTATTTTTGGCTGATTTCATTAACATTGATTGAGGTAAAAATACAAAGTAAAGACATATTTTTATAAAGTACTTAACTGCCAAATATAAAACTCTTGTTTACTTCATATAATATTTCTAGATTTGAACATTTTTATCCAGGTTTTCTGTAATTTTATTGTGATTGAAAATATTTAAACATTTCAGTCGCTATCCAAGGCATCGGATTTCTCTGCGAAATAAACGATGCCGCTAATGCAGTAAATTGTCTTCGATGTGCAAGACTACTGGATGACCAGTCTGCGTGCGAGGCTGAATCGAATGGAATTGATCCTATCTGTACATTTGACACAACGGAGGGATTGTGTAGAAGAGGCACCGGACCATAATCTGAGAAGATTCATTATTTACCTGTTGAAAAGGATTTAAGGCTAAAAAGTACATGTTGTTCTTGTCATTTATTTATAACATGAAGCCAAAATCTAATATGAAAATATTTGAAGGAAGATTATCTGTCTGTCTTTACGAGGGTCACCTGGATTTTCCACAAACTTATCACCAAATGATTGGGGTGAAAGGGTTAATTAACTAAATTTTCTAAACCCAAAAAACATCACAGGAGACAGTCTTAAAAATGAAGCTGTTTAGTGTTGATTGTTCGTCGTAAAAGTGATCATTAACAGCAAATTGAAGGCAAATGACTAAAACAGGTCCTTTAACCTAGATTTTAATTTGTAGACAATATACGGATTCCGTATAACATGGTCTAGTATAGTGAAAGGCGACATAAAACCCAATCAAGTTTAAGCCATCGAAAATAGCCTGTTTATGATGTTGACACGCACACAAACATAACGCTTGAAAATAATTCTATGTGACCAAGAATAGACTGAAATCTAAAAATTGCCATTTATTATTTTGTTTTCAAATGGTCATGCCCCAAAACTAGATATAACCTATAAATCTCAATACTGTAGAGACATAACCAAGTTCTAAACAATATATGGAGTATTCATTAGAGCCAAATGATGTCTTGCATAATAATATTTCCTTGTTCAGGTCAGAAATCTCTGTGAATGATACTCACAGAATGATTACTGAGATGCGCCTCCTCTTCCATAAAAAAGGGCGCGACATCTTGTAACTATATGTGCATGGAGATGTTCAGTCAAACTACTGCCCTCGAGCTCAAAAGACGGAGTCCCGAAGAAACTTTCCCATCTTACCTGTTCTCAGCGACCTCAAGTCTATGTCTGCTCCCGGGCATATACGTGTACAAGAAGGCGAGGACGAAACAGCAGTAGGACCCTTTGCACGTCACGACTCCATATCATGCAACTGAAGTGAACTCTGGTTGCTGAATTAGTCGTGAAACTTCCGGTTTAAACCTATATTTTAGCCCCCCCCCCTTCCAATACCTGCCACCCTGTTGTGTTTTTCTAAGGAAGGTGAAATATTTTCCCCTTTTTATTCGAAAGAAACATTACAATCTTGTAGCTGAGGTTAGAAGGAATCCAAAGGTACGGAACCGACCAAGGTCTGCGAATGAAATATTTCTAGACCCTCCTTAATTTGTATACATTCTAAAAAATATTGAACTTGATGAGTCCGTAGTAAAATACATTTGGTTTATGCATCTTAGCTTTTAAACATTTTGTCGAAGACTGTCTAAAATTGGTCGTACTTTAAACAGAGATACATATACCTTAAAAAAGAATTAAATACAACCAATATTTTTTGATTTTTTTTTTATGCGATGGTAAATCACATATCAATTGTTTCCATTTCTCGCAGAGCATATTTGATTACAGATCGACTTGAACCGTTATTTGCTAACTTTGTACAATCTCCCATGTGAATACACCAGACCCATGCAAACAAATCATGTGCATCATTCCGTTCTCGATACAATAAACGTCCTTCTTTGACGCAAGGTGGCGCTTTGCACTGCATGTAAGCTACTTGCTTTGGAACCCTAGTTTGGTGTCTAGATTTCAACCCATTGGATGCAATATGCCGAAATCTTTTATGGTAAAAAATTCTAGGCGATGGAACCCAACAAGAGGTTTTGAAAGCGAGACAGAGACTCACGACACATCTTTAAGTGGTAAGTTCAACTTAAATTTTTTTGAACGATTTTAAATATTGTTTTCATGCACATAGTCCATCGTAAGCATAGAATACCGGTATAACTTTTTATTTATTTACATTTTTTACGCCCAGAAATTTTAAAGTTTTTTGGGGGGAAGGAATATTAAATGAAAAAAAGTTATGTACATCGCATAATTATTATCATTTTTTATGAAAGGATCGCAAAAAATATCTTTATAACTATCATTATTATTTTCAATATTTCATTCCAAAGTTTTAAAATAGAACAAAAGGTATTACAAAGTAATATTAAGACTGATAGATTTTTTAAAGAATGTCCAAACGATTTCTTCTACATTCCTTTGTAAATGTCATTGAAGATTTAATATATTTGGAAATGATACCTAAATGTGCAATAGAAATTAACAATTTCATGAGAGAAATAAAGTGTTCATATCTTTCTTCGTGTCCCGATTGTTCCATCGCTAACAAACTTTTTTAAAACACTAAAATTGGCACCCCAACCCAAGACGTTCGCCTTACTAGCAATCTGATGTTCTTACAAAGATTTTTTTTTTATTTTTTATCAAATTTGAACTTTAAAATTTACGTGCATGTAAATTTTTATCCACGCAATTGTCATATACACAACAGAAAAAAAAACTATCATGGTCCGTCAATTCAATTGCAAAGTCTTTTCATGTAATTTTTTGCTCGAGTTTCCACCAAAACACTTGAAAGCAGTATCTTAATCCAAACCATAAGATATTGTTATTATTTTTTACGAAGACTTCATTAAAAATATATTTTATTCACTGTAAACGTTATTTGTCATTAAAAAAAAAAATCCATATAATCTCAGTGCTTTTCCATCCTTTTCCTACAAATGCAATGGATATATACTTCTTTGTAGCTGACCCTTTTTTGAGAGGAGGTTGGGTGGGGTTAAACCATATGAGATTGTATAGCTTTGGAAAGTACATTAAAATAAGAAAGAAATGCAAAGCTTTTTAAAAACGTCGGTGTGAAATCTGTGATTTCAGACCCTCTAGTTCAGTGCGCCATTAAATCTGCCTCTGGATCCTGATCCAATTGTTGCTGCATAAAATAAAATGATCATCGCAAGAGAGTAAGTGAAGTTTATGAAATATTTACGAAAGTTATAGACATCTCGAAGCATCGATGCAGTTTACTTATCAATAAATAAATCATATGTTCTTGGAAATTTACACAAATGTAACACTCTCGTGTTTCTTTGCGACCTGTAAATCATCGATCAGTATTTGATTTTTTTTTTTCAAAACATCCATCTATATTCTTTGTAAGGTTAAGAGGGACTCGTGGGACTCCCTGGTTTAAACTTGCCCCTTTTGGTACTTTGTATAGTGTCCCGGCACCACCCAAAAGAAATTAAGATTTGACGTTCGAGATAGGGAAATTATATTTTTGTGCTTGCTAAGCTACTTTTAATAGTATAATAGAATCCTCCACCCACCTTACCCGAATTTCGATTATTTCGATATATATAGACATGTATTTTGGTCTCTTGTCTAATTTGTGCAAACTATAGCTAAGACTATGCCCCAATCAGGGGCGTAGTATCAGGGGGGGCCAGGCCCCCCACTTTTTCTACCGACATTACCTTTACTATAGAAAATGTTTACTGAAAGGAAGGTTGGCCCCCCCCCCACATGTCAGCAAAGGGTAGTGTTATAAGAAAATTAATCCCAAAAAGTTTGAATTGAAAGATAGTTGGTCTTGAAAAAAGTTAGCCACTAACCCCCCCCCCCCCCCCCCCCTTTAACCCCCACGAAATAGGATTTTCGACTTCGGGCAAAAATTTTTTTTTTTTTTTTTTTTTTTTTTTTTTTTTTTTTTGCTTGTCAACTTTTTCTGGTAAGTAAAAAAAAATTTTCTCAGGTTGGCCCCCCCACTTCCAAAAACGATGCTACGCGCCTGCCAATGCTGTGTATACTTTATATAGATAAAATAATTTTCATTATTCCAGTAGTTTCACATTAGACGCCAGACTCTCTCTCTCTCTCAACTTTAGTTTTTCATTTAATATTAATTAAGGACCGACATTACCTTTACTATAGAAAATGTTTACTGAAAGGAAGGTTGGCCCCCCCCCCACATGTCAGCAAAGGGTAGTGTTATAAGAAAATTAATCCCAAAAAGTTTGAATTGAAAGATAGTTGGTCTTGAAAAAAGTTTAGCCACTAACCCCCCCCCCCACCCCCCACGATGAAGCTTATTTCAACTTATATTATACGATGTAACATAACTTGGGGCAGTTTACGCTTGATAAACCGCGAAGCGGTTTATAAAAAAGAGTAAACTGCCCCAAGTTTTGTTATATCGTATAAAATAAGTTGAAATAAGCTTCATTCCTTATAATTTAATTTCAGTGTAGGTAATGAGACAATTTTTTCTTCAGAATAAAGTCTCACAATGGTTAAATTTTAAAAGTAACGTCAAGTGGAGTAATACGTTTTTTGACGTGTTACAAGTAAAATTAAATTATATCAGATCAACATTTTTTTCAGTCTCATACGCTATTGGATTTTTATTTTATAGGTTTAATTTGTGACAATTTATGATAAATATTATGGGGCATATTGTTTTATGTCATGGCGGCCTCGTGTAGATCACTCGATCAGTGGAAAAGATGTGTAAGCTAATATGCCAATTAAACTGTTCGAGTCCCCCCCCCCCTTCCCTTTTTTGGCAATTAAAGATTCATGATTACTCCGTGTCAAATGTTATTGTTATTTGACGATTTATTTTTTATTTATTATTTGAAAATATTCACTTTTAAACCGCACTTTCCAAATCTCCTCCGGTGATCATTTTTACTAATGATGTTAAGTGGGGCAGAACGGATTGATGATGTTAATTGAAGCAGAGCGGACTTCTCGAATAATTCTACCTGCTCACAACATTTCGTTGCAAAACAAATTACCCATCATGCAATTTGAAATACAATCTGAAACAACAAATCTGCAATTACTAGAGGCTCCCCTAAGAACGGCTCGTCGGGAAGTTATTTCTGAATAAAACATTATCCCTTTCTTTTTTCACATATGAATTATTGCGTTTGTTAATATTTAATTTATATAGTGTAGTTTCCTGTTCGCTTCAATGGCAAGTTTTCTCGACTGATCTCCCCCTGGAGAATGTGAAAAGTCATGACACAATCTGTTTATCTCTCAGGGATTTTCATAAATCACTTGTTAGGACTGTTTTGCTGTGACCAATCCGAGGCGACTATGAATATTTGTTTTTTCATCATTTTTTTTAAAACAACCAGCATATACTGTTTGGGTTTTTTTTGTTTTTTTTTAGAAATAAATTCTTTTTGTAAGAGTTGATAAACCAAACGACAGCTGATACAAGTGACTGACTTCCAAAG